GCCCGCCTCGTCCCGCCCACTGCGGGCTGGCGCGGCCAATCGCGGGCGGGCGGCCTGGCGACACTGCGAGGCCGAGCGCCGTGGGAGGGCACGGGGCCCACGCGCGTGGCGACTCTTCGGGGAGGGGAGCTCGTTCTCGAGGCCCCTCACAGACCACAGGGTCAGAATTTCCCCCCTGGTCGCCAGCCTCGCCTTAAATGTCAGGGTCCGCCTCCTCTTCCCCCGTGTCGCCGACCTCACCTTTCAGGCTGCCAAGTGGAAATTCTTGGTGTCACCGGATCCCGTGCCCCGAAGCCGGCCTTTAGGGAGTGTTGAGCAATGTTTAGTGGCCAGAGGGCCCAGTTTAAATGCCACCTCTTCAGGGAAGCTAGAAAGCGGGGTCCCTTTACATGTGGTACCCGGGGCAGTGCAGTGAGTGGGGTGTAAATACCGAGGTGTTGGCACCTGCTCTGTGGCCGGGGACTGGGCAGTGACCAAGGCAGATGGAAGCAAGTGCTGTCCTTGAAATAAACAGACACGGTCACAGGGAGGGAGACGAGAAACCAGGACAAGAAGGCTGTGGCTGACTGTGGCCACTCCATCAACGGATGGGTCATTCTCCACAGGCAAAACTCACCTCTTCAATGCACTTGCTACGAGAAGCTGACCAGGTTGCTTGGAAATGAGTTTATGGGTCTCAGAACTCACAGATGTGAGAAAACAAAGTGCCGTGGGCAGCGGGGGATGGCTCTGCCTGGAAATCAGGCAGGCGACTTCATTACCAGTGTTAAAGTGATGCTTCTTGGTAAACGGCCTGAATTTTTTGACTTAGTTCTGTGAATGTGTGATGAGAAATCTGCAGGGAGTGCCCCGAGTGGTCATGACTTATCGCATAACCCGGCAGGGCACCTGGTGGGCAGGGTGTGAGATCTGCCATCAGGGCATCTGAATTGACTAAGGCTGAAGGACCTGTGCCAATCATTGCACCCTCCTCAGCCGCAGTCTTCAATCTGGGAATTGGAAATTACGACACCTGCCAGGAAGTCAGTATAGAATGCCTAGAGCCGGTAAGTGAGAAATGAAATGGTTACCATGCTATTTTAAAATGCAGAGATGGGCTGGCATTGTGGTACAGTGGGTTGCACAGCCACTTGGGATGCCTGTATCCCACACTGGAGCATCATTTTTTAAAAATTTTTTTTTCTTGAAAGGCTTTGTTTTTGTTTGAAAGGCATATTTACAGAGAAGAGAGAGATCTTCCATCTGCTGGTTCACTGTCCAAATGACTGCGATGGTCAGAGCTGAGCCGATCAGCAGCTTCTTCCAGGTCTCTCATATTGGATAAAGGGGCCCAAGCACTTCGGGCCATCCTCTGCTGCCTCTCAGGCCATCAGCAGGGAGCTGGATCAGAAGTGGCGCATCTGGGACACAAACCAGCATCCATGTGGGATTCCAGGCCTTGCAGATGGAGGACTCATTCGCCAGTGGAGCCATTGCGCCAGGTTGTGGGGCATTCCGGCCACTCTAGCTCCTTGCTGATTTTCCTGGGGAGCAGCAGCTGATGTCTGAGCCTGTGACACATGGGGCCCCGGAGGTGACCCGGGCTGTCACGGCCACCTGAGGAGAGAATGCGGCAGAATGCCAATAAATACCCTTAAGTAAACACTGTGTTTTCTGGAGCAGGGTGGAGAGCTGCAGCTCACTGCTCCTCGTGTGTATTTTATGAGTAGTGAGAACTGAATGGTTCGAAATGTGCACTGATTTATTCAGTACACACGAAGCACGCTGAAATGTCCCACTGTGTAATGTAAATATGTACTGACATTGCCTGTCAAAGAATTATAAGAAAAATATTTCACCAACCAAAACAATGTTACAGACCCTGAAACTCAAAAAACCTGCCTCTCCTCTTGAATGGCTGGCTCCCTGCTGGCCGCTGCCGCCTGCTGCCAGTGGGACAGGCTCAGCCGCATGGCCAGCAGGTGACTAGGTGCTCCTGGGAGCTGTCCAGGATGGTACTTTGTTAGGTGCTGACGGGGTGTGCCATCTGCAGCTGCCTGTAAGGCTGCACACCTGAGATCAGCCCAGACCACCACCCTCCTGCAGAGTTGAAATCAAAATGGCTTAAACATGGCTCACTGCTAACTGCAATTCTTTCTGCTTTTGTAGCTTCTGCTTTACTTGCTTAGGTAACAAATTGTGTGAGCTTGCAGGCCTAATGGCCCCAATCTCCAGCCTTATTAACCCATAGATAATTGAAGATCGGGGTCTGGTTGTCACAGGTGGTGCCAAGGTTGGAGCCCAGACCTGAGGAGAGTAGGCAGGGGCTGGCAAGCCGAGCTAAGCAAGGAATGCGTAATCCTGCCTCACTCACCTCTTGAGCTGTTGTAAATTGTGCCCCCCTTGAAGCTGTGTCAAACTGCCCCTGTAAAAACTTTGTAATTGTACTGCTCGAGGCCGCACTCCGGTAAGGGGTGTTGGTCCCGACCGCTCGGTTGGTCAGTCAGTCGGTTGCTTTGCCTCTCATTTATAATAAAACTTTGTTGTGACTGTCACTGGTGAATGTAACATTCTGTTTCAGTGGTCGAGTGGAAGTAACACTCCTCTAACTGGGATCCTGCCATCCAATGAGAGGTATAAAAAATAGGGGAAGGCAAGGTCGGAGTCTGTCCTTGGGATGTGAGTCCAGACAAGGTGTGTTGCCTCCAGAGGTTTGAGTACTGCTTGGTTCTCTGTGAGAACATGACCAAACCCAGAAACAGCAAGTACACCGCCCCAGACAACAGGGAATACACCACCCAGATGACAACAGACACACCACCCAGACGACAGCGGAACACCACCCAGACGACAGCGGAACACCACCCAGACAACAGGGAATACACCACCCAGACAGCAGTACACCGCCCAGACAGCAGTACACCGCCCAGACAACAGCCAAGTATCTTGTGGAGTGTGAGAGAGATCACACTGGAACCAAGTGTAAGAGGCTAGGGAGAGTCTTTATTGCCCCAGCTTGGCGACAGCAGCTCCCGCTGCACTCCAGGAGCCACTGCATCATGCAGCAAGTCAGGGCTTTTTCAGCTCTCATCCTGCAATCAGGTTCAGAGTCACACAGTACAGTTTCCATGTGCAGGAGGCAGGGAGAGAGCTACCAGTGCTCAAAGTTTTCCTGTAGTTAATTAACCTATTGCATTACAGCAGGAACAGGAGGGGCTGTTGGCAGAGCCTTCAGAGCCAGCTCCGTGCTGTCATCTCAATGGTAACTCAATCTACTATATGTAATACTTGCATAGTTTAAAGTGTGAGTAAAGCATTGATTTGATAAAATTAGAGCGTTTAGACTGATAGTTGAGGTGCTTGGTAGGAGTCCCACATCCCACACTGGGCTGCCAGGGTTCGGTCCCCAGCTCTGGTTCCTGCTTTGTACAAATGCGGGCCCCGAGGGGCATCAGACAATGGACCAAACCCTCGGGTTCCTTCCACCAATGAGAGTTTGAGTTCATCCTTGGCTTAGTACTGGCTGTTGTGGGCTTTTAGAAGTGAACTAGCAGAAGGGCTCTCTCACGCGCGCTTTCTTCCTCTCCCCCTCTCTCTCCTGAACCACCAAGCTTACAATTTTCCTGAGTCATGCCTGGCTGATGCTGCAGCACGCACCACCTTCAGCTCCCCCTATTGGTTAACTCCGGAACCGTAGCAAAACAGTCTTCTTTGGAGTTTACTTCCATCTACCTGATCCTTCATTGGTTCTTTCTGATTCACTTATTTTACTCGAAATTTCAAAATCAAAATTTTCTCAATTAATTAACTTGGAAAATTTTATTTGAGAATTCTCCATCTGGCACACCACCCGAGTGGCCATGACCCCAGAGTTCTGAGCTGGGCTAGATGGACGCCAGGAAGCTACACCCAGATCTCCCATACAGATGGCAGGGACCCAAGCTGGGTTCAGGGCGCACAGTAACAGCAAAACTGGGATTCCAACCCAGAAACCCCGAGCGACACATTAACCACTGCACCAAAATGCCTGTACCACTGGCCATTTTTTGAATTTAAAAGAAATTTTCATGGCATTATTAAGAATCACATGAAATGCTTGGAGGATTTTTTTTTTAATTTTGTAAACTAACGGATGTAGCCTTAAGAAATACTGACATACTTAGAATGCCATCTGATGTCACCTATTTCTCACGGACTTGCTCAGACATATTTTCCAATCCTGGAGATTTCTCCTCTAGTTACACTGGCACAAGTACAACCCAGGTATAGAGTTGGGCACTACAGTGCCCTCTGTGCAGTGCCTGCCAACGGGCTGCTGGGGCTTAAGGGGCTAAGCCACCCCCTCCACTGCTTCTAGTCAGCTTCTGATCCGGCTCCCTGCTAACCCTGAGAAGCAGATTTAGACTGCCCAAGTGCTTAGGCTCCTGCACGCACGTGGGAGACTGGGAAAAAGCTCTTTGCTTCCACCAGTCCAGCTCCGGGGAGTGAGCCAGCAAATGGTGGGTCTGTATGTCTCTCCCTCTCTGTAAACCTGCCTTTCCAACAAAAACAAAAGCTTTACAGTCACTCGTTTCGAACTTGTTAAGACTGATACGAGCAGCATCGCTCCGATCCTGTGAGAACACGGGGAAATACCCACGGAGGGCACCGCGAGCCCGCGGAGTCGCCGGCCCACGCGTGGGCGAGACCGGCCTGGAGACCCCTGGACCGCAGAGTCCCGAAAGACGAGGGGCACCGGGGCGACGCTCCAGGAAGGAGGACCCCCGGGGGAACGCACTAGAACCTCACGAAGCGCGGAAAACGGGCGCGTGACAGGGGGCACACACGCGGCCTGAGGCGCCGGGCAGGATGTGCCATTCCGTGGGGGACGCGGAGAGCCGCGCCAGGGCAGCGGTGCGCCGTCCTTCCCGCACTCCCGGGCAGGCTTCCCCCGCCGCAGCCGTGGACTCGGCCGGAGGTGACGTCACGGGACGCGCGGCGGAGGCCGAGGGGCGGGGCCTGGCGGGTGCGCGGCGCTGTGGCGGGCGGCGGGTCGGGGTGAGCGTGCGGCGCCGGCTGCCGGACGCGGGGTGCGGGGCCGGGGGCCGGACGCGGGGCGCGGGGCCGGGGGCCGGACGCGGGGCGCGGGGCCGGGCCGGGCCGGTCGCGGGATGCGGGGCCGGGGGCCGGACGCGCGGTCCGGGGCTTGTTGAAGTCACGGCTGTCAGGGCCGCTGTGCAGGGGCCTCGGCGCCCCGTCACGGGCGACCCTCTCGGCGCCGCGCGTGGAGTGCAGCTCCCGCGGAACGGCTCGCGGGAAATGCGGCCAGAGCTTCGTGTGTGGTTGTCAGAAAACACGAAGGCCGCTGCGGAAAGTTCGTGGGAACTCCAAAGATGGTTGGCGCAAAAACTGTAAAATCCACGCATGGGGTTTGTGCGTGTGTGTGTGAATGCTGATAACCACCCCTCCTGTGCGTGGATTTTAGACGTTTCTGTACCAACATAAACCCATCTTTTAGCTCTGTTTTCCACCAGCTCTTGGTCCAGGTGGCTTTAGGGGGACTGCGGTTGCTGTCTCCCTGTGTTGGGTCAGACGCAGCACAGCGGTTAACCGACGGTCCTCTGGGGCTCAGGCCCTTGTCTGTCAGAGCCTGGAGCCTGAGAAATACCTACTTAACTTTGAGAAAGTTCAAGAACTTAAGCATTTGACTTATCCTATTTTTTTTTTTAAGTCCCGAAAGAGAAAAAACCCTCGCAATGGCTGCTAAGCGAGCCCTGGTCATCCTGGCGAAAGGGGCTGAGGAGATGGAGACGGTCATCCCCGTGGACGTGATGAGGCGAGCTGGCGTGAGTCGGGCCTCAGGAGCCTTTCTTGTTTTCAGCTTTTGAAGATTGATTTATCTCCAAGGCAGAGAGCCTGGGCACGCTGGCCTGAGCCGGGCAGAGCCAGGGGTCTGCAGGTGCAGTGGGTCTCCCGTGTGGGTGCCAGGCGCAGGTGCTGGTCTACTGCCCACTTCCCCGGGCATGTTAGTCAGGGAGTGGGAGCAGAAACAGAGCAACTGGAACGTGAATTGGTACCCTGGTGTGGGATGGCAGCGTCACGGGCAGCAGCTTTGCGTGCTGTGCTGCAATGCCTGCTGCCCCAAGTTTTAGGATTTCTAGAAAGTTCACTTTGAATAAAATAATTGCAGAATAGCTGGTGTGGCAAGAAGCGCCTGTTTATTCAATCCCTGTATTTAGTGCTTGCTAATGTTTTGCCATATTTCTTTGAACCCTGTTTCCTAACTTTTTGAAACTGTCTCCTTATTTATTTGAAATGCGTAGTGACAGAGGCCTTCCATCTGCTGGTTCACCCCACAGGCCAGGCTGGAGCCAGGAGCCAGGTCTCCTGTGTGGATGGCAGCATGGTCACCCGCTTCTTCCCGGGCTCCAGAGCAGAAAAGCTGGCACCAGAGCCAACACTGCTACATGGGATGGGACATGGGTGCCCCAAGCCACTGCACTCAGTGTGTGTTTGAAAGAAGCAAATCTTGCATCTGCTGGCTCCTTCCCCAAGTGCCCAGCACACAGGGCTGAGCCACGTGCCCACCACACAGGGCTGAGCCACGTGCCCACCACACAGGGCTGAGCCACGTGCCCTCCACACAGGGCTGAGCCACGTGCCCACCACACAGGGCTGAGCCACGTGCCCACCACACAGGGCTGAGCCACGTGCCCTCCACACAGGGCTGAGCCACGCTGAAGCCCTGGGTCTGGAACCCTTCTTGGTCTCCTGTGGGTGGCAGGAACCCGCGTGCCTGAGCCGTGACCTGGCCCTTCTGTTGTGTGTCCAGCAGGTGGCCCAAACCTGGGCATTGCATTGTGGTATGCAGGCACCCAAGTGCCCGCTTGGTGGCTGTGCCAGACCGCCACCCCTCCAGCCTGTTTCTTTAGAGACCTAACACCCAGAGGCCTGCTGGTGCTTTTTCTTCTGTGCCCACCTGCCCTAGGAGTGCCAGCTCTCACACTGGTGTTGTGTGTGCACGCATGTCGTTAGAGTGGCGTGTACCTGTGTAACTGACATGGCTACACGTGGCTTCGTTCACAAGGGCCCCTTGGTGATGCCCTCGTGTGTGCACAGTATGCCCAGCCTTGTCGCTGTCACTGTGAGCTTTGTCCTAGGGATTCCCTTGGCAGACATGAGGGTTGTTCCCAGGCTGTGTCCTGAACATGGAGTTGGAGGTCGGGGACCATCCTTGCTGAATCCTGCCAAGGTCTTCCCAGTGTAGCAGTCCTACAAACAGGATGGGAAAATTCCTCTTGTCTACTTTTAAACTTTTGCAAGACAAACAGGTTTTCCTTGTTTGAACTTGGGTTTCTGCCTTTGAAACTGACCTGAAAGGGGCTGTTCAGGGCAGTGGGGAAGGGGCTCTGATGGCACCGCACGGGGCAGTGGGGAAGGGGCTGTGAGGGCACCGCACGGGGCAGTGGGGAAGGGGCTCTGATGGCACCGCACGGGGCAGTGGGGAAGGGGCTCTGATGGCACCGCACGGGGCGGTGGGGAAGAGGCTCTGATGGCACCGCATGGCGGAGGCGTGAGTCTCCGTGCGGCTCCTGCCAGTGTGCGCCGGGAGGCAGCTGCAGGTAATGGCACGGTCCCTGGCCCTGGCACCCACGGGGCAGACCTCAACTGAGTTTGTGACTCCGAGCATTTCGAACCAGTGGGTGGGAGATCTCGCTCTCGCTCTTACCTTTCTGCATCTCAAATAAAACAAGTTTTTTTTCAAAGTGAAGTTGAATGGTAACAGTGACCTTGTAAGATTACTCCCTGCAGTTATTAATAGGCTGGTCATGTAATTTATTGTCCACACTGGAACACTTGAGGGAACAGGGGTGTCCCAGTTAGGGTGCTGGGAACCCAGCTGCCGCTAGACCTGGTGATTCGGTATAAATTTGGCTAACACCAACTAATACTGGCTTAAACTCAGTGTGGTTCTGTGTTAAGGACATCTGTGAATACACCGCTCTCAGCATGTCGGGGTCGTTAAACATCCCGTTGGCTTCTCTCTCGTAGATCAAGGTCATTGTTGCCGGCCTGGCCGGGAAGGACCCTGTGCAGTGTAGCCGTGATGTGGTCATCTGCCCTGACGCCAGCCTGGAAGATGCGAGAAAGCAGGTTTGTGTCGCGTGTGGAGTGCTGCCGTCCTCAGGCCCTGCCGCTCGTGGCCCGGCTGTGCTGCCCTGCTCCCGACCGCTCCGCAGGCTGTTGCTAGCAGAGACCGACTTAACGGAAACTGCTGGGCTAAGATGCCTTTGCTGGTAGCTCCTCAACCCCCGGGGCTGTGAGCTTCGTCTCGCCTGTGGAGGTGCTCAGGGCCGCAGCGCTCAGCGCCTGGGTGGGAGCCCCGCGCAGGCTCAGGTTCTGCCTCACACACACGTCCTCACCTCCTGTGCTGACGGCTTGTTGAAGGCCAAGTGACACAGATGGAAACCGCTACATGCGACTTCACTGCCCACATGGCCTCAACAACTGGAGCTGGGCCAGGCCAGTAGGCAGACCTCCATCTGGGTCTCCCACATGGGTGGCAGGGGCCCACCATTGCTTTCCCAAGTTCCTTAGCAGCAAGCTGAATTGAATGTAGAGCACATGGGCCTGGTGCGATAGTGTAGTGGTTAAAGTCCTCGCCTTGCACGTGCCGGGATCCCATATGGTCACTGGCTCTAATCCCAGCAGAGCTGCTTCCCATCCAGCTCCCTGCGTGTGGCCTAGGAAAGCAGTCAAGGACGGCCCAAAGCCTTGGGAGCCTGCACCCGTGTGGGAGACCTGGAAGAGCTCCTGGCTTCGGATTGGCTCAGCTCCAGCAGTGGCGCTTACTTGGGGAGTGAACTATTGGACGGAAGATCTTCCTCTTTGTCTCTCCTCCTCTCTGCATATCTGACTTTCCAATAAAAATAAATAAATCTTAAAAAAGAAAGAAAGAAAGTAGAGCAGACTAGGGCTGGGACCATGGTGTAGTGGGTTAAGCCTCTGCCTTTGGCGCTGCCATCCCATGTGGCTGTTGGTTCATGTACCAGCTGCTCCACTTTAGATCCCGGACCCTGCACCCACGTGGGAGTCCCAGAAGAAGCTCCACTGCTGTGGCCATTTGGGGAGTGAATCAGCACATAGAAGATCTTTCTGTAAATCTACATTTGCAATAAAAGTAACAGAAAGTAAGGGTAGACTGCACTCAAACCGGAGCTTCAGCACGGGCTGCCACCAGCGCAGGCTGAGGGTGAGCTCACTGCACCGTGGAGTTTGCCCCCATTCTAATTTTTTTAACAGGCAGTGTGGGAATTGCATCTCTCCCACCCGCCCCCGTGTCAGCGTCCCTTCACGCCTCCCTCTGCTGACACAGGTGGCCTGCGACGCATTTCACGGGGACAGCTCAGCCTTGATTGGCACTGGGACTTAGGGCAAGGGAGAGGGCTGCCTGTACTGTGCCGCTTTTTAAAGTCTTAGAATTATGCTTTTCTGCTCTTTTTTTTTTATAAGTTCCTCATCTTTTTTAAAAATTAATTTTATTGCATTATGAGACAATGTTAAAGGCACTGGGATCCCCCCCACCCCTCCCTGAACCCTCTCCCCATGGTGGATTTCTCCACCTTGCTGCATTGCCACAGTTCAAATTTAGTTGAGGTTCTTTCATTGGAAGTATTTACCCAGCATAAAGTCCAGCATCTTATTATCCTAGTGGGTTCAGTGATTTCTTGGTGAGACCATTTCTGGTCTGAAGGTAAAACCGGCAGAGTATCTTCTCAATCAATTAAAAGCCCCAACATAGCATCAACAACAATTTACAGCATTATGGCATTAATTGACATGGTATTGATTAACCAATATGTTAATAGGAAAATGCAGGTTCTTAACCACATCCTGTGACTTCTTCATAGACATTTCGGTTTTGGTTTATATTCAGCCGGGTTTTATACACCTCAAAATGGCTATAGATTACTATTCAGCTGTCTCGTGTCTATTTTCATTTTAGTGTTTAGCTGTTTATAGTGTTGAAGCATGATTTTGCTGATAGGCTGTCAGAGATTGCAATAATATTACAATATACAGGTACTATTTTCCAGATTGACATCTTTTCATCTCAAATTAAGGCAAACATGTGGTATTTAACCTTTTGGGATTGACTCATTTTTCTTAGCATAATGGATTCCAGTCGGGCCCATTTAGCCACAAAAAATTGCATTTCGTTTTTTTTAATAGCTGAGTAGTATTCCATGGTGTATATAAACCATAGCTTTCTTATCCAGTCTTCTGTTGATGGGCATATCTGTTGCTTCCAAGTCTTTGCGATTATTGATTGTGCTGCTGTAAACATAGAGGTGCATGTTGGTCTCTTGTAAAACAGGTGTTTTGGATGTATTCCTAGGAGTGCTGTTGCTGGGTCATATGGTATGCTGATCTTCAGTTGTTTGAGTATCCTCCATCCTGATTTCCATAGAGGCCATACAAGTTTGCAGTCCCACCAACAGTGGAGTAGGGTTCCCTTTTCCCCACATCCTCGCCAGCAAGTGTTGTTGGTGGTTTTTTGTATGTGAGCCATCCTTACTGGCGTTAGGTGGTACCTCATTGTTGTCTTCATTTGGATTTCCCTTATTGCCAGGGAACTTGAGCATTTTTTCATATGTTTGCTTGCCATTTGGGTTTGTTCTTTTGTGAAACGTCTGCCCATTTTCTGTGCCCATTTCTTGAGTAGTTTGTTTTGGTGCTTTGGTTGTGCTGTAGATCTTTGTGTATCCTGGAGATTGGCCCCCTATCGCCTGTGCAGTGTGCAAAGATCTCCCTTTTTGTGGGTTGTTTTTTTACTTTGTTGTTTCCCTTGCTGTGCAGAAGCTTCTTAGTTTGATATAGTTCCATTTGTTTATTTTGGTCTTGATTGCTATTGCCTTTGGTGTCCTTTTTAGGAAGTCAGGGCCTGCACCTAGATTTTGTAGTGTGTTTCCTACATTTTCTTCCAAAAGTTTGAAGGTTTCTGGGTGTAGGTTTAAGTCTTTTGTCCATTTAGATTCGATCTTAGTGTATGGTGAGAGGTATGGGTCTATCTTCTTGTTTCTGCAGGCTATCAGCCAGTTGTCCCAACAGCACTTGTTGAATAGACCTTCCCATTTGCTTGGATTGTCATCTGTCTTTTTGTCAAAGATTAATTGGCTGTACCTATATGGGTTTCCTTCTGTTGTTTCTATTCTGTTCCATTGATCCTCTTCTTTGTCTTTGTGCCAGTACCAGGCTGTTTTGATAACCAGTGCCCTGTAGTATGTCCAGAGGTCAGGGACTGTGATTCCCCCTGATAAGTTCCTATTCTTCAGAATGGTTGTAGCTATTCGTGTTTTTTTGTATTTTCAGATGAACCTTTGTATCATTTTTTCCAGTTCAATGAAGAATGTTTTGGGTAATTTGATTGGGATTGCATTTAAAGTATATATTGCTTTTGGAAATATAGACATTTGCTTCTCTGCTCTTAAAGGCGGTGGAGGTTGTAGTGAGAGCTGGCTCCCTGTCCCAGGTGTGGCACAAAGGCTGGGTGACAGGACACAGGCGGCGGGCAGAGCCAGCTCGTGAAGGGAGCCCCACTGAGCACGGGGAGCTGGCCCGAGGCGGAGAGTTGAGCTCCCGGTGCTCAGTGCGGCTGGCCCGCTCGTGGGGCGTCCAGCATTGGCCCATGGTGCTCGCGGGCGGCGGGCTGAGCGCAAGGGGAGTGTCCGCGTGCCTTCATCCTGCTGAGTGCGAGTGTCTGGGTCAGGGCTGGCATGTGTGGAGTTGATGCTCAGACTCCAGAAAGAGAAGGTCCAGGCTGTCACGTTTTCTTCTTGGCTTTGGTGTTTAGTTTAAAAATAACAACAAAATATTCATGGCTCTAAAAAACTTAATTCTCAAAAGTATGTTGTAGTAAGTACTAGGTTGTCATTTTGTAGTTGAAAAAAATTTTTTAACTTTCAGTGTCTTAAAATATTATTACAACAGTATTTTGTAATTTCACGAACTTGGTATTAATTATTAGCTCTCTAGGATGTTTTGATATTTGAGATAATAAAATATTGGATGATTTAATTTCCCTTTGTCTTTTAAACTTTTGGTATTTTGACTGCTATGTACCAGCTTATTGCACATAATTCACATGGTGTGGACCTGAGTGCAGGCTCACGTGTCCCTGTCATGCTGCCTGGTCCCCCGCATCCCCACTGCACCCCTCGGAGTGCACCTCTGAGCAGGTGCATCTTGTCATACGTGTGCATACGTATGAGCGTGCAGACTGCGTGTGGTTGTGGGTGAGCTGTGTGCACGCCTGGGGCTGTGTTATGCATGTGCACATTGTGTTTGGCCAGTGAGCACACGTGAGGTGCTGTGTCACACGGGCACACGTGAGGTGCTGTGTCACACACAGGCACACGTGAGGTGCTGTGTCACACACAGACACACGTGAGGTGCTGTGTCACACGGGCACACGTGAGGTGCTGTGTCACACGGGCACACGTGAGGTGCTGTGTTACACACAGGCACGTGTGAGGTGCTGTGTCACACACAGACACACGTGAGGTGCTGTGTCACACGGGCACACGTGAGGTGCTGTGTCACGGGCACACGAGAGGTGCTGTGTTACACACAGGCACGTGTGAGGTGCTGTGTCACACACAGACACACGTGAGGTGCTGTGTCACACGGGCACACGAGAGGTGCTGTGTCACACGGGCACACGTGAGGTGCTGTGTCACACGGGCACACGAGAGGTGCTGTGTCACACACAGGCACACGTGAGGTGCTGTGTCACACACAGACACACGTGAGGTGCTGTGTCACACGGGCACACGTGAGGTGCTGTGTCACACGGGCACACGTGAGGTGCTGTGTCACACGGGCACACGAGAGGTGCTGTGTCACACACAGACACACGTGAGGTGCTGTGTCACACACAGACACGTGAGGTGCTGTGTCACACGGGCACACGTGAGGTGCTGTGTCACACGGGCACACGTGAGGTGCTGTGTTACACACAGGCACGTGTGAGGTGCTGTGTCACACGGGCACATGTGAGGTGCTGTGTCACACGGGCACACGAGAGGTGCTGTGTCACACGGGCACACGTGAGGTGCTGTGTTACACACAGGCACGTGTGAGGTGCTGTGTCACACACAGACACACGTGAGGTGCTGTGTCACACGGGCACATGTGAGGTGCTGTGTCACACGGGCACACGAGAGGTGCTGTGTCACACGGGCACACGAGAGGTGCTGTGTCACACGGGCACACGTGAGGTGCTGTGTCACACGGGCACACGTGAGGTGCTGTGTCACACGGGCACACGTGAGGTGCTGTGTCACACGGGCACACGTGAGGTGCTGTGTCACACGGGCACACGTGAGGTGCTGTGTCACACGGGCACACGTGAGGTACTGTGTCACACACAGGCACACGTGAGGTACTGTGTCACACACAGGCACACTTGAGGTGCTGTGTCACATGGGCACACGTGGGTTACAGAGGTCTGGGTGTTCCGTCTGAGCACCTGCAAGCACATGTTGGTGTAACATGTTCGCACACGCACACAAGGAGAGGTGTGTGTTTGTGTTTTACTTGCATACATGAGTGTGTGTGTCATGCACCTAGATGACCCGGTGTTGGTGAGCACCCGTGTGTACACACTTGGGCTCTGTCGTGTTTGTACACTCACACAGGTTACCCCTCGCCTCTCAGTGCAGTGTGGGCGTGCTTTTGTGTTCTTGTCTGGAGTGTGTTGTTGGAGACGACGGCTGTCTGTCACAGCAAATCGACTTCAATCTATTCATAGCCAGACGTGACGTCTTGCTTGGGTTTTGCTTGTGTCTCCTGTTTAAAGTGTGGAATATGCATTTCCACTTTTAAAATGCAGTGTTTTCACTTTTTTCTTCTTAAACTTTCAGGGCCCCTATGACGTGATCGTCCTACCAGGAGGTAACCTGGGTGCACAGAATCTAAGCGAGGTAAGGGCAGCCCCGCCGGGACTGGGCAGCTCTGCCGGCGCGCAGAGCCGGGGGTCTCCGCTGGGTTGTCGCTCTGCTGGGTTGTCACTCCGCTGGGTTGTCGCTCCGCTGTTTCAGGGAGGGGGCTGTGAATGAAATGGCAACAGCCGAAGGAGCATGCACGTGCGAGCCTGAGTTCAGACTTCTGAGAATATTGACCATGGAAATAAGCGAACTGGTGGGGCGATTCTTTGCAGACAAGTTCCAGGAAAGGAGCTCCAAGTAAGACACTGGTCGCCACCAGCAGGAGTGTCTTCTGCCTTTGTGCAGGTGGCAGGTTAGGCATGCAAGGCTACAAGGCCACCTGTGTGTCCCTGGACTGTGAGGGTCAGCCCGCCGCAGCGGCTTGTTCAAGGCCTGATGAGGGCAGGCAGCAGAGCAGCCAGCCCTGAGTGGTGCTCCCGCCAGCCTCGACTGTGCTCGGCCACACCCTCGCTCCCCACCCACTATTTACCTGAAAAGCAGAAAGACAAGGGGCTGCCCAGCAGAGCCACTGCCTTGTTCCTGTCCATGCAGGTGAGGGGTGAGTGTCCCTCGGGCTAACTGCTATATCAGGATTCAAAGACAGACTCAGTGATGTAGCAGTGGTTGTTGGAGAAGATTGGCTGTTTTGTGGTCTGAACTAAACTTTGTTCTACCCAGGTTTCCTGGCAGGAGCCTGGAGAAGTGGCTTTGTGTCCGGCTGACTGACTGTGCTTCTTTTGCAGTCGGCCGCCGTGAAGGAGATCCTGAAGGAGCAGGAGCAGAGGAAGGGCCTCATCGCGGCCATCTGTGCAGGTACCGTGTGCTGCAGCCCGCAGCCCTGGCACGCCGGGCCGTGTGTGCAGGTACCGTGTGCCGCAGCCCGCAGCCCTGGCACGCCGGGCCGTGTGTGCAGGTACCGTGTGCCGCAGCCCGCAGCCCTGGCACGCCGGGCCGTGTGTGCAGGTACCGTGTGCTGCAGCCCGCAGCCCTGGCACGCCGGGCCATGTGTGCAGGTACCGTGTGCCGCAGCCCGCAGCCCTGGCACACCGGGCCATGTGGCCCGGAGGCCGTGGATCTCACACAGGAGCAGGTTGTTGCACAGCAGTTGGCATTTTCCGTGCTTGGCTGACTCGGAGGAGAGGGAGGCCCTCTGGAATCCAGGAGACAGCTTGTCACAGCAGGTCTTGCTGCCAGGAGGCTGTGCTGCCCTCAGCAGTCAGCAGCTCTGCCCCATGCTGGCTCTGCCTTGCTGGAGCCGTGGGCACTGTGCCGTACGTACAGCGTGGCATTTAGGACCAGTCTGCTTCCCTGCCAGCTGTGTGCTGGGACCACTGGAGCCTGTTCTGGCTCTCGGATCAGACAGCGGGCTGCAGCTTGGGCTCTGCCATGGAGGGCTCTGCCGTGGAGGGCTTTGCCATGGAGGGCTCTGCCGTGGAGGGCTCTGCCGTGGTGGGCTCTGCCGTGGTGAGCTCTGCCGTGGAGGGCTCTGCCGTGGAGGGCTCTGCCGTAGAGGGCCCTGCCATGGAGGGCTCTGCCGTGGAGGGCTCTGCCGTGGTGGGCTCTGCCATGGAGGGCTCTGCCGTGGAGGGCCCTGCCGTGGTGGGCTCTGCCGTGGAGGGCTCTGCCGTGGAGGGCTCTTTCATGGTGGGCTCTGCCGTGGTGGGCTCTGCCGTGGTGGGCTCCTCACCGGTGCCCTCCGGCCTCAGGACTCTAGGAAGAGCAGGCGAGGAAATGACAGGCTGATTCGCTAGAATGTCTGCAAGCTTTGTAGCAGAACTTGCAGGCTGGGGCCCCGGAGACTCCCGAGGGTCCCAGGCCAAAGGGGGCGCTTCCGAGGCACCTGTTGCCCTTTTCCTTCTCAGCAGTGATGACTGAGTGACATGTGCTTCTGGAAGCTTCCCAGTCCTAGAGCTGATGCAGCAGGGGGCAGCGCTGCTGTCCCCACATCCTTGTCTGAGAGGGCGTGGGGCCCTCAGTGCTCCGAGTGAAGGAGGAAGGAGTTGGGCTGGCTTTGTGCCCAGGGCCGGGAGAAGGCAGGACTGCACGGCAGGATGTCAACGGGTGTCCCTGAGCTCACCCCATGGCACGCCTGCCTTCGACCCAGGCGCTCTGGCCATGTGCACCCCGCACCACTGTGCTGGGCGCAAGTCCAGGAGACAGCTGTCCTGGGCGGGGGCGGGGAGCAGAGCTGGCACGAGAGGGTCAGGGTGTTCAGAGCGCTGCAGGTGGCACCAGGCCGTGGTTTTGGGGGGATTGGTTTTTGTTTGTTTGAAAGTGATCATAGTAGTTTATTTTAGGATTTATTTATTTTTATTGCAAAGGCAGACACACAGAGAGGAAGAACTTCTGTCTGCTGATTTGCTCTCCAAGTGGCTGCAACAGCCGGAGCTGAGCTGATCCAAAGCCAGGAGCCAAGAGCTTCTTCCTGGTCTCCCATGGGCGTAGGGTCCCAAGGCTTTGGGCCGTCCTCCCCCGCTTTTCCAGGTCACAAGCAGGGAGCTGGATGGAAAGTGGGGCTGCCAGGACATGCAACGGTGCCCATGTGGGATCCCAGCACGTACAAGGCAAGGACTTGAGCCGGTAGGCTATCATGCCGGGCCCTTGTGATGTTTTTGATGGTGATGCAAGTTTAGCCGCTAGTCTTGAGTAAAGGAACGAGAGCGGAGGTGGTCTTGAGAGGACAGTGCAAGGAGGCTTAGCTTGAGTGGAGCATGTAGGGCTTGCAAAGAGTGGGCAGCCACAGATGGGGCAAGGAGGACCTCGGACACGGGCATTGGCCAGGCGTCCTTTTATAAGTCACCAGCAGGTGGCGCTGGTGGCGTTCCACCCTGGCGTTTCGCCAGCCTTCCCCGCTGCTGCCCACAGCAGCCTTTGAGCGGGCGGCTGTGAGACGATGACACACTTAGTGCCTCCTGTCTCATGCTCGGAGTGAGAGTTCTGAACCTCAGACATCAGTACTAACAAGTGGCTCAGCATGGTGGGCAGTTGGGAGATGGTATCGGGCCCCCTCCCCCGGGGGCGGGGCAGCAGCGCAGAGACCCCTCCCTCTGCGGGCATGCTGCCACGTGGTGTCTTACACAGGGAGGCTGGTGTTGGGGTGTGAGCCCTCCTTCTGCGCCACGGGGAAAGTGCTGGATCCCCTCACAGGAACTCTGCATGGTGACCGCTTGGTCGGCAAAGGAGTTGGGTTCAAATTGACACTCGGGATTTGTGACAAGTTCTGCAGGACGTGTGTGATACAACCCCACGCGTGGATTTCCAGAACCTTCTGTACCGAAGCTATCTTCCAGTCCCTTTGTCAGCTTTCACGGTCTTCGTGAAGTACCCGCTTGTGTTGGGGCTTCGGATCTGAGGGGGAAAGCGACTTGAGGCAGCCCGCCCCCTCGTGCTGGGCAGAGGCTGACGTCATTCCAGCCTCGCTCACTTGAGCAGCCCACAGGCGTGTCACGGACTCCGACAGGTCAGGAGGGCCAGGGCTTCAGGCTTGCCCGGCAGGGACTGCCCAGGCCGTGGACTTAGCACCGTCCCCTTGGCTCTCAGAGCACACTGACCCAGAGCCTGTGTTTCCGGTTTCTCTTAGAAAAAGGGATGATAGACAATTTTTTTTGAGCCTTATAAGGTGGTGGTTAGAAGTATAAAGATTTGGGCCCGGCAGCATGGCCTAGTGGCTAAAGTCCTTGGCTTGAACACGCCTGGATCGTATGTTGGCACCGGTTCTAATCCCGGCAGCTGCACTTCCCATCCAGCTCCCTGCTTGTGGCCTGGGAAAGCAGTTGAGGACGGCCCAAAGCCTTGGGACCCTGTACCTGCGTGGGAGACCTGGAGGAGGTTCCTGGCTCCTGGCTTTGGATCGGCGCAGCACCGGCCATTGCGGTTACTTGGGGAGTGGACCATCTGGTGGAGGATCTTCCTCTCTGTATATCTGACTTTCCAATAAAAATAAAATAAATCTTAAAAAAAAGTATAAAGATTTTTGTTTTAGTTCTTATTTGAAACTGATTGGATATAAAATGTGCTTGTGTGACTTTGGCCATTTTCAGTGAATGAATTTGGATAAAAAGCTCAGGTTGGTGCTTGCACATTTCAGGGCTTCTGTTGGAGAGGCGCGGCATCAGGGGCCCCGGCTGCCATCCGTGTGAGTCACGTGATGGGGTCACGGCGGCGCTGCTGCCCCTCAGTCGTTGCAGGCGGGCTTCTCGGGATGGGGCACTCAGACCCAGCGCCTCTGGGGGCGGGCGTGGGTGGCTGGGTGTCCATTCTGTTTTTCCACTTACAAGTAGGAAGACCAAATTGCAACAGCGAAGTGCAGAGTGCAAGGCCTTTGGCGGTGAGCCCAGCGGCAGGCCCCTGGCTCACACTCGGTTCTGGTTGCTCAGGGCGCCGTGTCTGTGCCGCCTTGGGGTCAGGCCAGCCTTTCGGAGGCGCTGGTTACGGGGATAGTTCTGTCTCCGGTGGAAACCTGCTGGTTCGCCACGCCCTCCCTCACCGTCCCGTTGGACCCGTCTGAGCGCAGACTTGGCTCTTGGGCCCAGCACGCTTCGGCCGGCGGCGTTGGCCTTGGGCCTTCCGTACCTGCGTGTCAGCCATGTCCTCTGTGTTTCAGGTCCCACGGCTCTGCTGGCTCACGAGATCGGTTTTGGAAGCAAGGTTACAACGCACCCACTTGCTAAAGACAAAATGATGAATGGGAGTAAGTATCTGCTTGTAATTGAGGCACAAGGAGGCTTCTGACGTGAGCTTGCCATTCCCCCGAAGAGGCCCTGCCGGCCGCCACTGCCCAGACCCCGGCTGCCCAGGCCCCAGCTGCCCAGGCCCCAGCTGCCCGGGCCCCAGCTGCCCGGACCCCAGCTGCCCGGGCCCCAGCTGCCCGGACCCCAGCTGCCCAGCCCGCGCCTCGCCAGGCAGCACGGCATGAGTTCTGAACCAGAGGCCAGCGGGTTCCTGCTTGTCACAGATAGGAAGTGATGCCGCAGTGCCCGCCTAACTCGGGTCATGCAGTTCCGACAGCGTCCTTGTCCCACAGTCCGGAGTGACCTGAAGGCTGCTCTGCTGTACAGTGACCAAGGGCTGCGGGGACCCTGGTTCACTCACACGGTCGGACACATGGAATCCTTAGTTATTGCCAACGCAATTCTGTTCATAGTAAAATGTGCAAAACAGTGTAACTGAAGGGTAAGGGAAAGCTGAACTCCGCCTCGTGCCTCTCGGAGGTCACCTCTGCGAAGCCACGAGGAAGCTAGACTCGGCCCTGCAGTTTCAAGTTTGCTCTGACCTGACAGGCTGTGCTGCAGCCTCGCCTTGCGTACAGCTTAGTGATGGGCTTGCAGCACACACGCACGCCCACCCTCGAGTGCGTGAGCTGATCCACGGTGGGTGTGTCACGACGTGTGTCATCATGCTCGAATCGTTTTCCCTTTTTGTCTTCATCTGACCACTCTAGTAAATTCCAAAAACATCCCTGGGCATAGCCAGGGCTTCCAGAATAGAAGGATAACATGTTCTCTATTGCATGTTGCTTTTATTTGAAAATTGGTGAGCTTTATTTTTAGGTCAGTTTCAGATTCTCAGCAGCATTAAGCAGAAAGTACCGAAAATTCCAGTGCCCAGCCCCCATCATGCCCTGCCCCGCTTGGCAGATCGGGCGGGGTGGCAGCCCCACACTGGCCCTCGCTGTTACCTGGCATCCATGGCACGCATCCCGCCACACTGCATGGCCTCAGCTGTAGGAAGATATTAACTGGGCAACAAACTAGAAAAGTTGGTACTTTAAGAAAAAGGCTGTGGCACTGAGCTACAGCCCGTTTCCCTCCTGTCTTAAAGGCAAGGCGGGAGATCCATCACCGCCCACTTCCCAAATGCCCACAGTAGCCAGGCGGGCACCAGGCCTGGGCATCCATCCCCGCCTCAGGGGTGGCAGAAATCAAAGTGCTTGTGTCATCTGCTGCCTTTGAGACCTGTTAGTATGGGAGAGAGATCTCCAGCGGGTCACTGTGGGGTGTGGGCACCCCAGCATGCCATGGTGGCTGCCCGCCCCTGAGCATTGAAACTGGGCAGTTGAATTTACTTGGAGCTAATGGTGGTTTTAGGGTGTGGGGAGGAGCGTGCAGGACGAGCTGGGCTTCCTTGGGTGGCGTGACAGGGCAAGGCCCACGCAGGCTCCACCCTCCCGCGTCTGCCCCACGTGCTCTCATTTCTTGGAAACTTGAGATTGATCAGGGATTGAAAGTCGATCGGGAACGCTCACGAACTCGCACTTTAGGAATTGGCTTCCCTGTGTTCGCGGGTCAGCAGGAAACCTTTGAGACCAGAGTCGTCCCAACCCCATCATTCAACTCCGTCCTCTGCGGCTGAATGTGCAGCCATGTGGTGGAGACCCGAGCAAGGGCAGGCCCCCAAGTGCCCACCAGCTGAGCCTCAGGCCGACCCCGAGTGCCCACCAGTGGAGCCGCAGGGGCAGGCCTAAGTGCCCTCCAGCTGAGCCACAGGGGCAGGCCCCCCAGTGCCTACCAGCTGAGCTGCAGGCTGACCCCGAGTGCCCACCAGCTGAGCCTCAGGCCGACCCTGAGTGTCCACCAGCTGAGCCTCAGGCCCCCAAGTACCCACCAGCTGAGCCTCAAGCCGACCCCGAGTGCCCACCAGCTGATGGCAGTGCCTCTGCTGTGCTCTCAGGCCCGTGTGTGCTCGTGTGATATCACACAGCAGCGCCAGGGGCCTGTGGCAGCGGGGTGGCCTCTGGCAGTGCATCGAGGCCTCAGTGCTGCTGACAGGTGAGAGCAGGAGGCCTGGGGAAGGCTGCTGAATGGCAGACCTGTGCCAGGGTTGGCCAACTTCTCCGGTGCCTGGGAACAGACATTCAGGCTTTGTGGGACTGTGGGTCTGTGGCAGCTGTGGGATGGCCGTGGCTCTGGGTTGGCCAGTGCTCGCTGAAAAGCCTTCCGGCTCTGGGCGTTTTGCTTTGAGAAACACCTAGTACCTGACGCCTGCTTGCCCCTGTCTGCCCTAAACACTGCCTGCTGCTGGTCATCATAGCCGCCACCAGGTGGCAGCCCTGGACCAGCTGCAAGGTGCCAGCATTTGCCAGACCTTTTATTGTCCCGGTGTTTGTGGCTGGAGTCCCTGGCCCCGCTGGTTTCCTCGTTGGCATGGCTTAACCCTCAGTAAACGGGGTCCCTTCATGACACACTCCCTCCCCCCCCAGACCAGGGGTCCCGCATGGCGGAGGGGTTGTCTTTCTCACTGCAGTTACTTCCTGATGGCTTCATGGGGAGGAAGTGGGGAGACCTTGGTCCCTGTGTGTGCTGTGAAGCCACTCTGTGGAGACCTGAGTGTGTGGCTTCATTCAGGCAGCGCTGGGAGGGGCACGCCAGGAGGATGCTGCTGGCGGGAGTCGCGGAACAGGCCTTTCCTGAGCAGGAGGGCGGCGTGCCTGAGGCGTACTCACGCCGGGTATTGTGCCCTGTCTGCCCTGAGGCGGGGTGCGCAGGGGCTGGAGTGGCTCAGGGGAGTGGGATCTTAGCTCCTTACCTGCCCTGGGCCCCCGATGTCCCCTGTCACTGAGTGACAAGATGGTCAGACCCAAAGGACCAACGGCTGAGTGCCAGCTTCACGGCCTCTCAGTAAGGGCCTGCCCTGGCACCGGGCTCCTCCCTGGAGTCCACCTCGAATGTCCCAGCCTGTCCCGGCCACCAGCGCCAGCCTAGACCCACATCCTCCCTCCTGGTTTCTTGTCCATCTGTGGCAAGGCCAGACCCCAAGGGCTGCCTCTGCTGTGGAGTGGGATTCAGGGTGATTCCCAGGTTCTGAGAGAGCTGGCAAAGGCTCCCTGAGCTGGCTGTGCCCACAGAAAGTGACCTTGGCATGCCCCGCATGCACTGGATTCAGGGCTCGCAGGATTGCTGGGATGGGTCCCCTGGCAGCCAGTGATGTGGCCAGAGCATGTGCGGCCTGGCCCGGGGATGTGACCCTGTCCGTCCTCCCTCACAGGTCATTACAGCTACTCGGAGAGCCGCGTGGAGAGGGATGGCCTGATTCTTACCAGCCGCGGCCCAGGGACCAGCTTCGAGTTCGCACTGGCCATCGTCGAGGCGCTGCGTGGCAAGGAGGTGGCCGATGAAGTGAAGGCCCCGCTTGTGCTCAAGGATTAGTATAGATGCGTGCACGGAGAGGGCGCGAGAGCCAGGCCTCTTTGTGGTCGCTGAAGACAGCGGGTCGTGTCTGAAGTCCTGGCCGCGCACACCGCTCGGCCTGCGTGTGTCCGTACATTTCGTAGCTTTGCACAATAAATGGCGCTTAGCACGTGCTGGGGTCGCCACCTGTGTCCCCCTCTGCTCCCCGCAGGTGCAGCCACAAGCCTGGGAGGAGGCTTTGCACAGCAAGAGGAAAGGCCCCAATGCGACAGCCTACATGGCCTGCAGGGTCCTGTTCCCTGGCCACCCAATGTGCCATTCAGGATGCCAGGCAGGTGGGCTGCAGTGGGCAGCCCTGTCAGGCAGTCCCCCCACCTGCCCATAAGCCCAGATGGGATTGGGCAGCTGGTGGCTGGAGGAGCTGCCAGCAGGATGCGCTGTGAGCCCGGGGTGTTGGCAGCCATCTTGTCACTGCAGCGAGAGCAGCTGCGGTGGGCTGTCTGCTGGGCAGGGTGGGTGTTTCTACGTTTTCACCTTTTTCTTTTAAAGGTTGACTTATTGGAAAGAGTTGGGGGGCGAGGGTCTTCCCCTGTGGGTGCAGGGGAGCAGGTCACCTGTTGCTGCTTCCGGGCTGTTAGCAGGGAGCTCGGCAGTTGGACCAGCCAGGACGCACTCCAGCGCCCATCTGGGGTACCAGAGCTACAGGTGGGCGTTTTACCCGCTGCTACAACACCAGCCCATGTGTTAATTTTTAAAAATGCAAATATTGCAGGTTTTGATTAGCACTCTGCTAAAGATGGTGGGGACTGCTGGGAGAGTTGGGGAGGGGTGTGGCAGGCAGGGTCGGAGTGACGGGGACACTGGGACCCCAAGTGATGGTGGGCTTTGGCTTGTCCTGAGCAGCTGCTGCGTGCCTGTCCTGTCGCTGGCACATCAGGGCAGTCCTTCGGCCATGAGAAGGGGAGGAGGGAGTGGAAACACCCTTGGTGTCTTCCTGCAGGGAGAAGTGGGTAAGGAGGCCGCAGGCTGAATTCTACCACGTTAGATGGTTAGGGAAGCCTGGAGGATCCTGGGTGTGAAAGAGGCAGGAAGAGACAGGAAGTGCAAGGGCCTAGTGGTGCGGAGGGCTGGGGAGGAGGCCAGCGGGAGGGGCAGCCAGGCACCAGTCAGAGCTGCCCAGGGCTGGGGACCTTGGGAGGGGCGTCCCATCCTGGTCACGCTGGCTGTGCTGACGATCCCAGGGAGCTGAGGGTGCGGGCAGGTGGGCGGGATCTGTCACCACTGGCGCCAGGGTCAGGCTGGGTGTGGTGAGTGCCCACGGAGGGTGTGGTGGGAAGGGGCGCCAAGGACTCCCCCACATTCAGACTGGAGCGTAAGGTCATGCGGGGACTCCACCTGGGCGGGAGATGGGGAGAGCAGTTCAGGGTTCAGGTCCCAGGGCTGGGGATGTCTGGGACATAGACGGGGAGGGAAGCTGTCAGCCCACCGCCCCCGCCTCTGAGCAAGGCCCCTGGAGTGCGCTGGGCCAGGAAGGGGGCGGTAGCAGATTTCGCTCTGAAATTCCTGTGTACTTAGGACAGCAGGAGGAGGTGGTTCCGGGACTCGGGGGAAGATACCCGCTTCTGGGCCCCCGGTTTCTCGGCCTCGTGGTTGTGGAGTGTTGTGTGTGCCCCATCCCGTAGCCCTGGTCCAGCTAAGCCATGGACAGTGTGTGGGGGCTCCTCACCCTACAGAGCTGGTCCAGCTGAACTGGGGTGCCTCTTCTGGCCCGTCCTGAATTGCTAGCCTTCAGATCCTGCTAACATTGAGTCTCCACCCTCTAGCTGGGACTGCTTTCAGAGCTCACCGCACCTGCCATCTGCCTCTAGGAAGCGGGAGCTAAAGGAAGGTGTTGTCTGCACTGGCAGAGTGGCCTGGAGTTGGGAGTGACTCCTGGGGTCACCCAAGTCAAAGTTCATGGCCTCAGGGGCAGCAGCTGCCATCAGTGGGCTTCAGGCCTTTCCCCAGGCCAGAGCCCTGGCAGTCAGCAAGGGGGCCACTGTGTGGGGCAGCCCATGGTGCTGCTACAGGACTCCAGCCGCCAGCTGGGGGTGCTGAAGAGTGGGCTGTGTCGTCCCACAACCCTCAGGCTGCCTTAGGAGAAGGTCTGGTCTTTGTAGAAGCTGGAAACAGCCTGCGTGGTGGGGCAGAGCCATCCCTCGGGCTGCCCCAAGCTGGAGCATTCATGGGGAGCGTGCAGCCAGCCCCATGGTCCTACATCAGCTGGTGGCACGTCTTACCCTCCGAGAACCTGGACAAGTTCTCCTCGTGGCCTTGGCAGCAGCCTGCAGAACCCTCTGGTAACATCTGAAAATGCCTCGTCCTTGTCCCTGGCAAGGGAGGTGGCAGGAGCGATCTTGAAACCCAGAGCGCAGGCCCAGGCCTCCTGCCCCATTGTGGCCTCTGCCACAGCATCCATAGGCCACCTGAGAGGAAGGGCTGCGGGCAGTGCCATCAGAGTTGGACAAACCCTCCTGGACTCGGCCTGGGGCCTGCAGGCTGGGCGGGAGTGTGCCTGCGACCCCGCACTGGCATGGTCTTCAGTGCTGTCACCATCACCATCGTCCTCACTTCCTGGCACCTGCAGCGCCAGGCGGTGGTCCACACCCCAGTGCTAAGCAACAGAATGCTGGGGGCAGCCCGGGGGGCGGTGCTGGGCTTTCTGTGAGCCACCCCTGCCTGTGTCAGAAAGTTGTTGGGAAAATGGAATTAACAGTTTATTTGGGTGCTTGAAACTTTGAGATCTGTGCATAGTTTTATTTCATAGTATGCATTTGCTACGAGCTTTTGAAGATCCCTTGGTTGCTTGTGTTTCACAGTCTGTTTATCTTTTGATTTTATCTGGAACTTAAACTCATGTTTTAAGTGTGTGTATTTGAGGAGGCAGAGGGTAAAAGCAGCAGCACTTGCGTTCATGTGTTCACCACCCAAATGCCCGCAAGCAGAAGCCAGGACTCGGTCCAGGTCAGGACCTCAAACACGGAGGCCATTGCCACTACTCCGCAGGGTTTGCGTCACAGCAAGCTGGAGCCAGGAGCTGGGGATTGCACCTGCACTGATACGGGATGATATGGGACACAGGCATCTTTTTTTAATGCAAATTTTAGAGGAGAGAGAGGTCTACCATCCACAGGTTCATTCTCTTAATGGCTGCAAAGGCCAGAGCTGAGCCAATCTGGAGCCAGGAGCAGCTTCTGGGTCTCCCACGTGGGTGCAGGGTCCCAAGGCTTTGGGCCATCCTCCACTGCTTTCCCAGGCCACAAGCAGGGAGCAGGATGGGAAGTGGGGGCAGCCAGAACAACCATCAGACTTCATGCGAGCTGAGTTCGGGGGAGGGCCCGGCTAGGTCAGGCCATTGCATCTGCTGGTGCTTACAAGAGCCAGGATAAGTGCCACTTGGCAGGGCTTTGCTACAGCATATGCTGGCAGGTGCCAGGACAGGGTGGAAGTCGTGTCAGACTGGACCACAGTACCCCCTGGAAAGTGTAAGATCTGGGAGTAGAAGTGGCCCTGGTGGAGAAACTGCACAGTGCTGGGTTACAGTTCCCACTGGTGTGCATGAGAGCCAGGGCTGGGGGCAGGCCAGGCCGGGAAGAGCAGCCATGCCTGTGGTACATGTGTGGACTGAGTTGTGAAGTGGGGTGGGCTGAACTAAGCTGCAACACCAATAAGTGTATCCAAGAGCCCAGTTGGGATCTAGCATGGACCAGACTAGTTGCTGCACATATTTGCATGTGCAGGAACTGAGGCTAGGGGTGGGCCTGGTGGAGGTTTCGGGGGGTCGCCCCAACTAGGCTTCAGTTTCTGCTGGTGTATGTAAGGGGCAGGCCTGTGGCAGGCTGGATTTATACCTGTCATTTTGCATGGGACATGGGGCTAGGGATGGAACTGACCAGGAAACTGCAATCACCAGTGTGTCCATAGGCTGATGTGTGTAACAGCCTGAGCTGGACTGGCTGCCACATGCAAAAGATGGGTCTGGCTGGGGCCCCCCCAAATGGGATTTCTTAGGGGACTCTCCAGCTGGACCACTGGGGAGATAATAGGGTGTGTGGTGCAACCTTGGAATGTATGTGTTGGGACGGGGCCTCCGTGATCGCTGGTGCCTGGGCAGTGAATGGCATGAGAGTAGACAGCTTGTCATGTCAGAGATGGACAGACAACACATAGGTTGGATAACTTCCTGGCTGGGTTTTGGTAGCAAGAGTGCTCGGGTGAACTCTGTCAGCCGGTGGATCTTGGAAGAATCTTCTCAACCTTGGAGCAGTGAAACCAACAGCATCTCAGAATCACCAAAACCACTCAAGCAATACCCCTGGAACATTCTCCACATCAGGGTTTCTAAAACGACATCAAGTGGGCATCCCCCATCTCTGGGTACCAATGCAGTCTGGCAGCTGGGAGCACCCTCTCCCCCTCCCTGCCACCTCTCACCCCACAGATACAGGAGAAAAGGGAAGGAAAAACCAACTTGAAGCATTTGTCCCACCCACCTTCCTTCATACCTTGACCCCACCCTAAGTAGTGGTCCTTGTGGGCGTGCATCCTTGTCAGCTCTGCTAACATCAAAAATAAATGTTTAAGAAAGTGGAGCAGCCAGAACATGAACTGGTGCCCATAAGGGGTGCTGGTGCCACTGGACCAGCCCCAGCAGGTACCTTAATGCCCATGGATATCACAACTTCTGTGCTTGTTTTAGCTTTCTTCTTGCTGAGGGAGGATGCCCTCCTGCAGCTCTGAAGAGAAGACAAGAATGTGAAAGGCAGAACTATGAAGAGAGAGGGAGAGAGATCTTCCATCCACAGATTCACTCCCCAGGTGGCTGAAGTGGCCAGAGCTGGACCATTCCGAAGCCAGGAGGCAGAGCGTTCTCTGGCTCTCACGTGCCACCAGCCTGTGCTCACCTCTCCTTAGGCCCGCCCCACCTGAAGCTTCTGCAGCCTGGGTCCCTAACTAGTGGGTGGTCAGCTGAGTGGCTAGCCAGAGGGTGACCAGGAGGAAGCCTGTAATAGGTAGTTAGCCAGACAGGGGCAGACAAAGGCCAACCTCTGACCTGCCCTGGATTGGCCTACAGCAGTACGGCGGTGCAGAATACAATGTGCCAAGTTCATGGGCAAGATGAGGTCACCCTCCT